GGTGGTATGAAACAGTAGGCCCTGATCCCACCACAGACATTGATAGACAGAGNAAGAGTTACTATTCAAAGTATGTTGTCTCTCTCAACGTTGAAGACATCTTTTCAGCCAAACGCGCAGTCTATATATTATACGTCTATGGTTGCACCGCAGAAAGCGGTTGGGAGAAAGCACGACATGTACGAAGACCGCAATTTACAGAACGGCGCGCGCGCGCGCGACCGATATTTTTACGGTGGCGTTGCGCGATGTAACTTCCCATCGCGCGAGAGACTCCTTTTCTCATTTCGCGTCGTGCGGATGTTTTAACTGCTCGCACACGAATTGCGCGAGCACCTTCCCCGGGGGAAGAGGTCGACTACGTCCACTCAAAGTTCTCTTTAATTTTCGCCAACTTTCAATTGGCCAGGCTCGGCTAACAACTGATTAAGCCCCCCCAACCGGTTGGTTGCTCGGCTTTGAAAACGGAAAAGAGAAGAAAAAAAAAAAAAGAAATAACGTAGTTCGCCGTTCTATCCGGCCGCGCTTTTCGCTTCGCGAGAGAAGTAATCCGACCGTTTGTCTACGTCGAATCTCCCGGAAAACCCGTGAGACGCTTTAATGTACCTGAAACTCGGGTTTTATCCTCCTCCCTATTTTTTCTCCCTCTTTCTTTCTCGCACCCCCCGCTTCCGCTCGACTCTTAATGCGCACGAGAAACTTATGCGTAATTAAAATCTAACGATGCAAATCGTCCGGTATATCCGCGAGATATTCTCGCGAGAGGCGTAAATATACTCCAAAGTATAGAGACGTCGGCAAATTTGGTTATAACTTAAAACGTTTAGCGTCCGCGCGCTGCTCATCTGGGACTTGTATCTGATTTTATTATTTGTTTTTTCGCAAGCCTTCGCGCGCAACCGCAGACCGTTTGATTCTTGTTAAGATATAACGATGATATGAATCACAAGAATAAGAAAAAAAAAACTACAAAGGTGACACAACAAATCTCAAAGTTGAACGATGTTTTGAAAAAAGTTTTGCTCCAAAAAAAAGTATAATAAAAATTCAAATATTCCAAAAAGTCTAATTTAAAAGATATAGCAGGAATAATTTTTATTCACAATCGCTCGACGCGAGCTTCGAAAATTCAAGTCAAAAAGTCGCTCTTTTTCACGGAGTCCGCCTTGTATAAGCCGACGACGGTGCGGTGCCAATCTCTGCCGGTTCCAAGTTGACTTCTCCACCATACTCTCTTGCTTCGATAAGATCTAGTCACGTTCATTAAATTTTCTCGTACTGTCGGCCTTGCCAAGACGGATGGTAGGGACGTTCTCGAAATAGGTCGCTGAATAAGAGGAAACGTGCAAAGCCTTCTAAAGACAGAAATTGTAATTGTATCTCCAGTATGATTTAATGTAATAAAATATAGCGCAGGCAGCACCTGGAGCACCGGCTAAAATGACGCGCGCGCGCACATATACACACAGATGGAAAATTTAATAATACTATGAGATTTAATAACACTGCCGAGAGAGACTGTGTTCTTTTTCAGTTTGTTAACTAAATATATAAAATTAGCAGCAAGGGAGCGCAAAGAGCGTATTTTTCACGCTACATTTAAGTTTACATTGCTTGCTATAATTTTTTTTCTTTTTTACAGTCAGTAAATACAAGCGAGATATCTCATCTAGATTTAAATAATATTAAAATCCTGATAACAAAGCTGGGAAAAATAAAAGCCGAGGGGAGAAAGTCGTCGAGATATACTTGTTAATCTTTAATATTATTATATTAGGTCTACCGGAAAGTTCTGTCCGTTTTTGGAATAAAACAAAATACATAAAATTTTTCTTAATTTTTCAAAAATGAGATATACAAATTGCCCTCACGCTGGCAAGAAATCATTAATAATAATGGCAATTATATTATTTAATAAAGTTTTTTGACGGTAAGAAAAATTTGTAATTTTGTTTTATTCCAAAAACGGACAGAACTTTCCGATAGACCTAATATTATCGAAGCTTAGCACGTTCAGTCAGAAATGTAGCGAGCGTTATCCGCCATTAACATATAATCCGCTAAAAATCAAATTATCGAATTATATCTCACAATTATATCTCTCTTTTTATATATTTCTCATTCTCCGTTTTTTCTCAATCGTCTCTTATTCTGCGTATTTATCCGTTTGATTCCGATTTTATTCCACACAGATTAAAATTAGAACAATTATAGTTCGGAGAAAAATATAAAATGTTGCAACACACATTTCGAGATACTAAAATAAATGCGATTTTACATTTATTTTCTCGATTCTATTTTTTTTTTTTTAATGTAATTACCAATAGTTCTATCAAAAGAGAAAAAAAGTGTGTTCGTGTGTGTTTTCAACTCATATTATATTATTGCAAATTTTTGTCGATAAACGCAAACAATTTCCGTTGTCGATGAAATTCATTTTGCATTGTTGCGTGTTCCATTAAAGACATTTTTTTTTTCAATATTAGCAACTTATAAATGTAACAAATTATAAATTTTCTTACATATTAAAAAGAAACTGTTTTCTTGAAAAATGCGTCGCGTAACAACAAGAAGACTGTGTTCAAGTCGATATTACCTAGATGGTAACATGAAGCACGAAAACGTAGCAAGAATCTCGGAAAATCCGGAGGTACTTTGCATACACTTTTCGCCTCAATCTTCGCTCTAAAAATCACGAAGCCGTCTCCTTGGAAAGATTCCAGAGCCATGTAACGCGATCGCGAATCGGAAGAGAAGAAGTGTTCGGAGGAAAGAAAGGTCCTCTCGCGCCATTCTGCGAGTGCGGTTATATGTTCCCACCCTCTCCTCTCCCCCTCCCTCCGTATGAACGTATGCTGCTCCGTGCGAGCATGGAAAGACTGTAAGGTCGAATCTCGTCTGGAAATATGAAATTTTCTCGTCTCGCGCGCGTTCGCATAAATTTGTATTTTAACGTATGCAATATTAGATATCTTAATTATCATATTACTGCGCACGGAAATTTCACGTGTGTCCCGAAATGTAAAATGTGCCGGTAAACCGCGAATGTTAATGCGAATGCGTGCTTCGTTTGTTCGTCAGACAAAGAAAATCAAATTTTTTAGGTTTTTATAAATGTATACATTATTGTAAGTCAGAATGGAAAAGTTGTTTTTCATACAATTTGTTCCCTCGCTTGCTTGCGACTGCTCTCCCAATCTCATATTTTCCTTTTTTTTTTTTT